ATTGATGGCAAACTTCACAAAGATTATATCTTTGCAAAAATATCTCTAGTAAGAAGTGTTCTCTACCACTCTAAATTCTATCAAACTTAGACAACCAATCGAAATTGACATAGGAAGAATAAATTAATTTTAATGTTAGTTCAAACAAAAGATATAGTTAAGAAAGAGACAAAACAGTTAAAAATTATACCAAAATTCCAGGACAAAATGCAAAAATATAATTTTTTTTAGTTAACATTCTCGCTTTTAGTAGCTTCTTTTTTAATCTATGATCATGAAAGGTCACTAACACTCTGACCAAAGGAACTGGGGCATCTATAAGGAAACCTTTGCATTTATCTTCTAATTGATCATAACTTCCATGTGTCCCTACAAAAGTGAACATATGTTACTAGTCATAGTGTGTTCAGGATATATCACTGATTTTTTTTTTTTACCGTACCTTGCAACATCAATTGAGAGTCACTTCTAAATTGGAATCATGGCAAATTTTTTACTTTCTATAAGCCTAAAACTCCCCCTCATCCCGTGTGCCTCGGTCTATTTCTTAAATTCCTTCAAGAAATTGCCTGCAGGAACAACAGATTTTCTTTCCATATTTCTTTAGTGGAGTTAAAATTTAATTGTTTTACAAAATTTAAAAATGGACAAAAGTGATTTGGAAATATATCTGATGTATCACTTTGGGTCAAAAGAGAAGTAAAATGTAAGTTATGAAAAATTTTTATATGATAGAGATTCATTTTCAAGGCAAATAGAAGAGTTTCAAAGTTATTCTAAATTTTAAAAAAGTAATTTAATATTAGGGCAGATTATTTTAAGCAGAAAATTTAGTTTCCTATGTATGTATGAGTATATATACATACAAAACATAGATTATAAAATGTTTTTAACTCATAATAGCAATACTTGTGTTATTGTATATATTTTTTCATTATCAATATGTGCCAAATATTTTTTGTGGTACGAATACATGAAATGTATATGTAAATGTGTACATATATCTATATACATGTATTTATAATATAGTTATATTTGTATTAGTGGAATAATATTATAACATTGTAAAAAAGTGATTTACCTTTATCTGAATTTTTTAGGAAAATATATTTGGTTAAAAGGAACAGTCACTTACAAGAGGTCTTGTCGGGAGACGCAACTCCTAACAGAAGACAAAGTAAGGGCTACCTGAATATGGGGAAAACGCTGGCTGGGAGCAAGGCCCCAGCTAAAGCAGCCATGCCGGAGGCGAAGCCCCATGGATCCCGTTGATGGGCCCCTTTGATCTTTAGGAGTGCGTGCATAAGACAGAAAGTACCCCTTTCTGGTGACAAACAAAAGCATTAACTAGCGGGGCTCAGTGGCTCGGCCTGTAATCCCGCGCCTTGGGAGGCTGAGGTGAGTGGATTGCCGGATCCCGAGGGTTCGAGACCTGCCTGGGTAGCGAGACCTCATCTCTACAATAAATCAAAAAATCAGCTGGGCATGGTAGCGCGTGCCTGTAATTCCGGCTACTCGGAAGGCCGAGGCGGAAGGATCGCCGGAGCCCAGCAGGGCGAGGCTGCGGTGACCGGGAGCGGCCACTGCACTCCAGTCTGGGTGACAGAGTGAGACTCCAACTCAAAAAAAAAAAAAAAAAAAAAAGCATTAACTAATAATAGGCAAGGATGATGTATTAGTGAAACTAAGGCTTGAGACATGAGAAAGGAACAACAGCAAAAGCACAGCCATTAGAGATGCTAGAGAATGTTTTGTTACCTTCATTTCCATGAAAAGCAAAACCATTGTGTATAAGGAAAATAAAAAACGTTCTCATTCTTTATTTTTAATGGTTAACAGACCCTATACTAAAATAACACCTTAGACGGGTAAGATGGAGGAGGAAGTTTGTGAGACCTGAGACAAGTCAATCCTGAGGGCAGCTGCTTTTAAACATGATTTAAGAAAGTATAGATATAGTAGATATAAATTTATAAGGTAAAAATGATTTAGTAATATAAATGTAATAGTATAAAATAAAGTAATTATATAGATAAAAAGAATAATGATTAAAGTAATTAAATATAGAAGAATAAATATAAAATAATTATATAGATAAAAAATAGGATAATGGATAAAAATGATTAGATAAAATATAATTAAATAGAAAATAAATATAGAATATAAGAATAATCAAATATTAGATTTAAGTTTTTATAATTTATATAAAGGATGTTAAGTATTATTAGATTTATATAAACAAAATTTAAAAAGATAGATGCATAATAGGAAAGTTTGTAGGAAATAATTAAGAAATAATAAAATTAGTTATAAATATAAACGCCAATATATTGCCGCTAAGTTACATGTAAAAATTTAGTTAAAAATAAGTTATAAAAGTGGAGAGGGTTAAAATATTACAGTTAATAATTTTTAGCAGATATTGTTTCGTTCCTGTCTATTGGTTTTAACATAATGGGAACAAAAAGGGACAGGGAGGAACAAATAGATCATTGTAAAACGTTTAATTGTAAAAGAAAAACATGATGTAAGCATTTGTGGGCCCATATGTGAGGGGGTTGAGGGTTAAAAATGCCTTATATAAGCATGTGAAAATTGAATAAACTTTGGAAGAGTCCCGAACTCGACCCAGAAAGTTGACTTGTGTCTTCTTTCTTCACCGCTCTTGATTCTCTCGCCTCAGGCCCTAACCCTCGTGTTGGAGCAGGTCTCCAGCAAGGTCTTAAATGAGTTACACAGATTCAGCTCTCATTTTTCTTTCAAAACTAAAAAGGGCAAATATGTGTCTTACATGGTTGTGAGTTTTATTATAGCTCCATAAACTCAAAGTTGAGAAAGAACATTCTGGACTTGTACATGTAATAGTTTTACTGAAATAACTGTTGGGAATCCTGGTTTGGAGAAACTTAATTCTTCTTTCAGCTTCATGAACCACACTAGGAAGCTCTATTTCTTGACTCTATTCAAGAGGGGCTATTAGAAATGAGGGTACGGGGTCCATCTGAAATTCACCTAAGGAGATACTTCAAGGCAGCTGTGTGTCTGGCTCATCTTAAAATCTGCACAGTCATATAAAATAAATATTATGCAATTTGTTTTTTGAAAGACAAAAAAGGAATTTAAAGATAAGTTAGAATATAGGAGTCTATTTTTCATAATCATGTAAATTGTTTTATTTAATGGGGAAACAGAGCTATGGTTATATTAAGGAGTCATTAAGACTACTCGTTAAGACTCAAACTTGAGCTTAATCATGTATCAGTCAGATTATATCTTTACTGACAGAACAAATAGGTAGCTTAAAATTTGATTGGAACGAGTCAAATCGCACCCTCCAACCCCCAATACTCTTTGCTGTCTACTAAAGTTAGCATTTTTCTTCAGAAGTATTATTAATTAGTTTCTAAACAAAATTACCAATGCCATTATCTCAATTATTGCCTTAATTTTGGTTTTGCAAACAGGATTTAATCAGTCAATTAGTATTTATGAAGGATCTACTATATGTCCTGAATTTTTCTACATTCCTACAAAACTTAGAGTTATAAGGGCAAGAGGCTAGAAAAATAATAGTTACTAGTCACATGGTCATTTTAAAATTATATGCAGTTTCACTTACAAAAAAATCATTCCCTTAATTTCTAAATGTTTGAATGATTTTTAATAATTTACTAGATGCTGCTATCAGATGGTCTGAGGTAAAGTATGCATAATATTTAATTATGAAATGAGACCATTTAAAAGTATATATCTCATATCAGCTTATTAAAATTAAAAAGTGGTAATGTAGTTCCTAGGGGCAAATTATATAACAACTAGAAGACTATTTTAGACCATATACTTTTAAAAACATGAATATACTGCTAAACGCATCAGTAAAAACCATCAAGCAATATGCATGTAAACAGCAGCCTAATAATATTTTTCATTATCTATATATTCACGAACTTGCTAACCCAATTCTCAGCTGTCATATTTGCTTGTATTTATTTTTTAAGCAAATACAGATAGTCATGGGACTCATTAGAAGAAGAAAATGAATTGATTTCCTAGGAAGATCACTGAACTTTTTAATGCCAACATAGCAATTAAGGCAAAAAATTATATATACTTGGAATTTATGCCCCAGAATGCAGGCGGATTCTGTGAAAAGCTGACAAGAACAACAAAAACATGTTATATTTGCTTATGATATTCTTGTAAACATATCTTTTGCAAAATGAAAAATAATCTTGTTTGAAAAGAGCATTATCCCTGATTCTCATGAAATACCTTTTATCTGGAAAAGAATTCAATAGTATAGTAATGACAATTTGAAAGAAGGTTGTTTATATTTTATGTCAATACATTTTGTACAGATAGTTTTTGAGGCACTAAGTGTTAGCAAAGATTAATGTTAATTCATTGTTTTCAAAGGAGCTTTGCAAGCATAGTGCTTTTGTCTCATGCAAAAAAAAAAAAAAAAATAGTTAAAAAGTGAAGTTTACCCCGAAGAAACTTTTTTTCTTTTTCATATAAGAGAAAGAGGTAAGAAGTAACAGAGAAGATGTCAAATATACTATAAGGAGATAAATATAATAATAAAGACTACCACGAAATTTTAGTCTGTTTGGAAAAAAATATATTGAAAACAACTATCTACAATTAGATTATAATCATATTACATGTCTTATATGATTACTCACATTACCAATTATTGTTGTAAACCTTTTGTTCTTCAGTTATTTGGAAAAATGAGAGCAGGATTCGCATTAAAATTTATTTCTCTGCAAGAGATTGATAAAATATTCTACCACGTCCCATTTTCTTCCAATGAACTCAAAGTTGAATTTTTCTTAATCATTTGCTTACCATTAAAAATAATAAAAAACATACGAATTCCTTTTAATTTAAATTTGCATTCAAGAAGTGCTTGTCTGATATAATTCAGCTGATAAATATGAACCTATGTGTTTATCAAATCCCTAAGAAGATTATCTAAATCAACTCCGTGTAATTACCATTCACCATCTGTTCCACCAGGGCCTGCGCTGATCTGCTGGCATCTTGCAGTTTTCTGAACTTCTCGGCTTTTTCTCGCTCTATGGCCTGCAGCATGATAGCAAAGGTGAATATTTCAATACAAGGATTGTGACTCTACACAATAATCATAACTTCTGCTTGCCCTTCCAAACCTTGAGATACTTCACTCTGTCCTCTTACTATGTGAATCTAAAGACTTTTTTCTCAATTCTTTTTGCCAACAAAAGCATCAAAATAGCAATAAAAAGCACAAGCCATTTTAATCCAGAATGGCTACTATTTTTAATAATACAATTTCTATTCAAAACATTTTTATACTGTAGTTTCTGAGTCATTGCAGTGTAAGACCACAAAAAAGAGAAACAAAACAGGCAATTCATAACAATGAAAGATAAAATGTCAGATCATCAAAATGGAATTTAACTTTTATAAACATACTAGTGAAATGACTTCTAATAAGTATATATGCAGTATAAAAAATCAACCTGATAATCTAGTATGTATATGAAATCGAAAAAATACACAAGCATGAATATTATAGCAGAAAAACATATTTACATATAAGACTATACACTATTTTTCCTAAAATAGTCAAAATACTCTTATTTCCAAAAAAAAACTAGATTCAATTTCAAAGAGCTTTATAAATTCCTTTATTTCTCCTAATCAGAGTTAACTATTTTTTGTTTGCTTTTTTTTTTTTTTTTGAGTTGGAATCTCCCTCCGTCGTCCAGGCTAAAGTGCAGTGGCACGCTCACGGCCACACCCCAGCATCGACCTACTGGGCCACAGCGATCCTTCCACCTCAGCCTTCCAAGTAGCTGGAACTACAGGTGCACACTACCATGCCTGGCTAAGTTTACTTTTGAACAACAAATTCAAAATAATTTAAGTGAACAAAAAACAGCATTCTATACTATTGAACTAGTGTAATCTCTACGCAGACATAAATTTTAAACCATGATACAGTAGAACTACATTACTATAATTATCAAAAACATATGGCAATAACATTGTTATATGTTCTAAAACATAGCTATTCAAAGAAAGTCATTTGTAATTAGCATGTATTAAGAAAAACACTTCTGTGACTAAGTAATAGCATTCAAAAAACATTTCACCTGCATTTGATGGAGGAGGTTATTTTACATCAGATTATTTTTTGAATCTTTATTTAGATCTAAAGGCATTTAAGCAAGTATTTTCAGGTGTAGTATTAGAGTGCAGGTAGGGGGGTATATAATAGACGCATGCATACCCTACAGCATTGTTGAGTAGAAATTTGTGCAAGGATTAAAATGTTCTATATCTATGTTGTCCTATAAAGTAGCCAATAGCCAAATGTCGGTATTGAGCACTTAAAAGGTGTCCAGTGTCACTTAGAAAATGAATTTGAATTTTTTTTTTTTTTTTTTTTGAGTTGGAGTCTCACTCTGTCGCCCAGACTGGAGTGTAGTGGCTGCTCCCGGCCACCGCAGCCTCGACCTGCTGGGCTCTGGCGATCCTTCTGCTCAGTCTTTCAAATAGTTGGAACTACAGGCATGCGCTACCACGCCCAGCTAATTTTTAAAAAATTTATTGTAGAGATGAGGTCTTGCCAAGTTGCCCAGGCGGGACTCGAACCCGCGGGCTCAGGTAATCCACTCACCTCAGCCTCCCAAAGCGCGGGATTACAGGCTGAGCCACGGAGCCTGGCTAGAAAATGAATATTTAATTTAACTTAATTTATTTCAATGAGTTTAAATTTAAAAAGTAATTATGTGTCTAGTGTTAACTATAATTTTATAATACAGATCTAGTGTAGTCCCTTTGAAAGCAAATAGCTAGAGACAGACCATGCTTGTAATCACAGCTACTTAAGAGGCTAAGGTGAGAGGGTTGCTTGAGGCCACGACTTTGAGACTAGCCTGTGTAACATAGTGAGAGTTCCCGTCTCATAAAACAGTTTAACAAAATTAGACAGGTGTGGCGGCTACTCAGAATTTGACATAGGAGGGTTACTTGAGCCCAGGAATTCAAAGCTACAGTGAGCCATAATTATAACATTGCACTCCAGCCTGGGCATTAGAGCAAGAACTTTGACACACACACACACACACACACACACACACACACACACACATGCGCGCGCGCGCATGCGTGAAAAATAGATAAAAATATGGATATATAAAGTAATCCATATTTTTATATATTTTTAAAAACTCTAAGGTAAAACTACAAATCAATAAAGATTTTCTCAAATTTATGTTATAGAGTTTCATAAGTGGGACACCTGACAGTATCTAATTTTAAGACTTGAAATGAAGCTACAGTAATTAAGATAGTGCGATAGTATGATGCTGGCAAAAGAAGGGACAGATAGATAAATGGAACAGAATGGAACTCAGTAATTGACCCACATAAATATCAACTGATCTCTGATAAAGAAAAAAGGCAATACTATGGAGAAAAAGTCTTTTAATAAAAGGTGCTGAGACAACTCAATATCTAAATGCAAAAAATGAAACGACATAGACCTTACACTCTTCATAGAAATTAAATCAAAATAAATCATACACTTAAATATATGATACAAAACTCTAAAATTCCCAGAAGATAACATAGGAGAAAATCCGGATGACCTTGGGTTTGTTGATTGTGCTTATTTTTACATAAAATACCAAAGATTCATTTAAAAGATTTAATAATCTGAACATCATTAAAAATAAAAATTTTTGCTCTGCAAAATATGCTGGCAATAGAATGAAAAGAAAAGCTACAGACTGCAAACACGTATTTGCAAAAGATATATTTGGCAAAGAATTCATACAAAATATACAAAGAACTCTTAAAACTCAACAATATGTAAATAAATAACCCATTTAAAATGTGGGCAAAAAATTTGTAATAGACACCTCACTAAAGAAGATATACAGATGGCAAATAAGCATATAAATGTGTTTCACATTATATGTTATCAGGGAATTGTAAATTAAAACAACAATGATATACCACTACATACATATTAGAATAGCCAAACTCCCAAACACTGACAATACCAAATGCTGGTGAGGATTTGAAGAAACAGGACCATTCAATAATTGCTAGTGGGAATACAAAATGGTATAGCCACTATAGAAGAAAGCTTTGGGGTTTCTTACAAAGCTAAACACATTACCATATGAACCAGCCATCATGCTCTTTGGTATTTTCCTAAACAAGTTGAAAACTTATGTCCTCACAAAAACCTGCACATGAGTGCTTATAGCAGTTTTATTCATAATTGCCAAAGACCTGGAAACAATCAAGATGTCTTTCAGTAGATGGATGGATACATAAACTGTGATACTTATAGACAATGGAATATTGTTCAGTGTTTAAAAATGAACTATCTAGATACAAAAAACATGGAGGAAGCCTAGATGCATGTTACTCAGTGGAAAAAAGCTAAATACTGTAGGATTCCAACTATATATAGGATGTTCTGAAAAAGGCAAAACTATGGAAACATTAAACAATCAGCTGCGATACGTAAAATGCTCATTACAATTGAGACTATAGAGTGAAATGAAACTAAAAAGTGACAGTTTTGTTCTGTTTTATCTTTTATCTATAGCTTAAATATACACATTTTACATTTTGCTGTGAAGGGAAGTAAATGAAAATTCAGTTTCATCTCATTGGTTAAGAAATTCTCAAGGTGACAGACACATTTTAATAACTTTGATTTCATGTCAAATTTTCAAAACACACAGACTGAGGTGTTTTGTAATTATATGCTCCCAGGATCCCATTTCAATTAGAAGGTTAAACTTCTGGGTGGTCTTGAAATTCAGTTTCCCAAACACAGTGTTAGATTGTGTCTACAAACATGTGGACAACCATGAAAGGTTCTAATTTGCTGGTTGAACTGAAAAGTTCATTAAAATGCAGTAATTGCAAAATCTGGTTAAAGGCGAAATCCCAAAGTTCCAAAATTTCCATTTTCTCAGTTTCTCAATTTTTGTGTTCTACATTGTCTGTCTTTAACAGCTTATGGAACCCTTGCTTTTCAATACTTAAATACTTGTTTTCTGTTAAAAGATTTTTTTTCTTAAAACTCTTTTTTATTTATTTTAAATATGTGGGGGTACAAGTCAGGACTGGGTACATAAGTGGTTTCCATACAGGTGAAGTTTGGGGCTCCCATTGGACTTCATTTCACATGGATTAGGATCAGGCACTCTTATTGATGTTATGGCCCTGCCCCCTCCCTCCTCTGGCAGTGTCCTGCTACTGCCAATCCCGGAGTGCAAACTAGTTCAGCGTCTGTGGAAAACAATGTGGTGATTTCTAAAAGAACTAAAAATTGACCTTCCATACGATACAGCAGTCCTCCTTCTGAGAATACACCTGGAGAAACTCAAATCATTCTACAAAAAAGGGAAATGCTATTTGGAAAGCACTCTGAACACATTAAAATAGAAAACTAAGCACATTTAAATAAATATAAAATATTAAACATCAAGAAAGACAGGAAGACTTGAGGTGTCCCAAATTTAAAAGCATCGGAAAAAATCAGAGAAATGAAAGAAGAGAAAAATATACTGATAACACGAGACAATACACATAAAGAACAATGATAAACTGAGCAAACTGGTGCTCCCTGAGTTAATGTTTTAGAGTTGTCCTCTCCTATAAGAACAGTTCCTATTTTATTTACATTGTTTCTGCTTTTTTAAACATGAAATGATATAAAGAACAGAATAAGAACACTATATAGTCTTCACAAATAATGAAAATGAATGATCAGTAGCCTTCTAAATTCATGATAATTTCTAACTTCTAACCTTAATAGAATAATTGATTAATATTAATAAAAGAGCAAACTTACATTTAAATATCTCAGGGATAATATTTGAGCTTTAATATATTACTTTTTAACCACATTATTTCAGTTATGCTAATATAAATAATAACAATGACAACCATCACCACAACAAAAACAATTTATAAAGCAGGTACTATTACTCTCCCATTTTGTCAGAGAAGCAAAGTGAGACACGAAGTTTGTAAAAAATATGCAAACATTAGCACGGCCATGTTAA